TCCACAGCTCGCCAGAGTCCGTGAGCGCCGCTGTGTGGAATCCTCCAGCAGCCACGGCAACGATCTTCTGGCCGTTCACGCTCACCTTCACTGGAGCATGGCGATTCGTGGTGTCTCCAATTCCAAGCCGGCCATCACCATTGCTGCCCCAGGTCCACAGCTCGCCAGAGTCCGTGATGGCAGCGGTGTGCCAAATTCCAGCAGCCACGGCCACGATCTTCTGGCCGTTCACGCTCACCTTCACTGGAGCATGGCGATTCATGGTGTCCCCAATGCCAAGCCGGCCATGACCATTGTAGCCCCAGGTCCACAGCTCGCCAGAGTCCGTGATCGCAGCGGTGTGGGATCCTCCAGTAGCCACGGCCACGATCTTCTGGCCGTTCACGCTCACCTTCACTGGAGCATGGCGATCCGTGGTGTCCCCAACGCCAAGCTGGCCATAACCATTCCAGCCCCAGGTCCACAGCTCGCCAGAGTCCGTGAGCGCCGCTGTGTGGAATCCTCCAGCAGCCACGGCCACGATCTTCTGGCCGTTCACGCTCACCTTCACTGGAGCATGGCGATTCGTGGTGTCCCCAGTGCCAAGCCGGCCATGACCATTGCTGCCCCAGGTCCACAGCTCTCCAGAGTCCGTGATCGCCGCTGTGTGGAGTCCTCCAGCAGCCACGGCCACGATCTTCTTGCCACCAAATGCAACCTGCACAAAGGCATGTTGCTTGACAGTGCCACCGGTGCCCAGCTGGCCGTAGTCGTTATAGCCTGCTGCCCAGACTTGGCCTGGGTTGGAGACAACCACCGTGTGGTAGCCCCCTGCCGCCAGGGGCACCAGGTCTCCCCAGGTTCCGTTTACCAAGGCCTCCAGGTCCTGGCCATTGCAGACATGCCCAGGCGGACAAAGCAAAGGCTCGGCGCTGCCTTCGGGGCAGTAGTGGCGCGCTGGGCACAGCACCGGCTGACCTTAAGGAGCAGAGAAGAGGGACGAGGTTTTGACACTGAAAGTCCTAAGTCAAGATCCTACCATGATGGGTCTAGGTTATGGTCTCTTCTTGTCTGAAACTCCCGTGTAAAGGTTGATGGCTGGTCCAAGGCACGAGTCTGCTCAGGGCAGTAGTAGCCCTTGGGGCACGGCTGCGCGTCCTCTGCACACACCCACCAACTCGAAACCACGATCCAGAGCATCCGACACAGTGCCATGGCGAGGGCACCGAGCTCTGCTACTCAGAAATCACTATATTTTGCGTCGCACACGGCTTTCGGGGAAAGCACCAAAATTTTGGATCCTGTCATGACTCGGCTGTGCCAAGGCAAGACTCTGCGATTGAGGCACTCATCGACACACCTTCGAAAGCACGCCGGAAAGGTCAGCACTGCATTGCGATGCCTTCTCCCTGCACAGCTGTCCCGGGCAAAGGCCTCAGCATGAGGCTTCCGGTTTGGTCACCCTAAACCCTAAACCCTAAAACCTAAACCCTATACCCTAAGCCCTAATCCGCTTGGGCTTGTGTCAG